AGAATGATACCAAACTCTAGGAATGGATCCTACACGTAAATAATAAGAATAAACTCATATGTTGTTATGCGATTTTCATTTGTTTTAGATATAACGTAATTACAAATTTAAAAAATTTTAAATCAGTGCGAGTATATGATGTTCCAAGATCAAAAGTAGGTTATTTGTCAGTGTCATTTTATGTTGCAATAGTTTAACATTTGATTGCACGTTTGTACTCGTACGATCGATGTTACAAAATACCAAGAATTTATTTCAAATTTAGTGTATGCAAATATGGTGTATTTTGTAATGGGAATGCTGCTGAAGAATTGTCAATGGTTTCCACATCACAGATAATGATAAAAATGTATTTAGGGACAGATATAGCCAAAAAAAATTGTTATAAACATAGTACTCTTTCTCAGGCAATTAACTCCATCAAATTTCACATCAGAATGCTCTTGAAAAGTATTAGGCCAAGCAAATAAAATGTTATTGCAAAAAAACAAGAAAAGTGCTCATTTTTTAATTTGTTTATAACTATCGCATTTATTTTAAAATTTTATAAAACCTATGACAAGTTGAGGGTTTTGTCATACTTTAAAAGTGTGCCAAAAGTGGGCGCTGTAGGTGCAATAGTTTTCGCACAATTCAATTTGTTTATAACGGAGGCCCCAAAAGTTATGACTTTAAAAAGTTATTTTTCATAAAAATAGAAAAAATTGTAAGTTTTAAATTGTTTTATTATATTGCATTATATCTGTTATTGAAAATGATTGTGATTGATATTATTTGAATTAATTTTGATTATGTTGCAAACATTTTTTTGTATAAAATTAGTAATAGATATAATAAAAAAAACTATATATTAAAATTTCTAAATAAAAAAAACTATGTATTAAAATTTCAAGAAGTTAAAATTGTAATTATCGACCGCATTATTTTCATTAATATTTTTTAATTTTGAGAATTTTGCAATAAATTCAAATGCTTTTTATTATTTTTTAAATCTATTAACAATAAATAATAATTTGAAAATAATTTGTGAATTTTTACTTTAATTTTACATTTAAATCATAATTAAATAACTAACAAAATATTGAAAAAATTAGTTTACTTTGGCTTAATATATAAAAAAATAACTTTTTAAATGACCGATAGCTTCATTTATTTATTTAATAATAGTAAAATAAATGTTTGGTTGAAAATTAACGCCTGTACAGAGGCTTAAAGTTCATAACTTTTGGAGCCTCCGTTATAAACAAATTGAATTGTGTGAAAACTATTGCACCTACAGCGCCCACTTTTGGCACACTTTTAAAGTATGACAAAACCATCAACTTGTCATAGGTTTAATAAAATTTTAACAAAAAATGCGATAGTTATAAACAAATTAAAAAATGGACACTTTTCTTGTTTTTTTGCAATAACTTTTTTGTTTATTAACCGATTTTAATTTAACAAGTCTCATTTTGTAGATAATTTTATTTCCTTTAAGCTGTATGTGAGTCACTTTTCGCTAAAATTGATGGTTTTCTCTGCAAAAACTGTTTTCCTCACTTATTTGTTTAAATGGAAAAGTTAGCTAATAAAATTTTTTGATTGCGAGATGAGTGATGTCTTGTATTATGTTCCTTTAAATAATTTTACAATAATATCGCGGATAGGAATTTTTTCGAATTTCTCTTTTTTTTCGCTAATTTTCCTGGTCTATATGTACATTTTTTAAGGAAACACTATATTAAATATCACCTCTGTATTTCAAAAGAAATATTTTTAAATAATTTGAAATTAACTTTTCAGTCTCAGTGAAACGTAATTTAATCAGTTATTAATTTTATTATTTTAATTCAACGGATGGAACTTCTTAATGAAGCAAAAAATTGCAGTAGATACGAGCCTGAAAATGTTTTCCAATATAGTAGTGACCTTTAGGAGGAGTAAACAAATAAATTTATTTTTTATATCACAAACAAATATTGCATAGGTGCTTCATTGATGTTCCAGCACAATGAACCATACGTCGTAGGTGTATATGTATACAAGTAAATAAAAACATAACGTTATTTAAAAAACCATGGACAGACCTCTAGGGTGGAAAATAAGACAAAACGTCCTAAAATCATAGCGTTTCTGGTGTTTTCCAAAATATAGAGTAGGTAACAGCAGATTTATCACAATATATGAATCCTTATTAGGGTAAGAGCATTTGTAAGAAAACGTGCCGGAAGGAAAAGTTGTAAAATAATACAAAAAAATGTCTGCATTTATTTGTTAAACGTATCATTTGACAAATTTCTAATTTCTGAGATGTGCAAAGATTCAAGAAATCATTTTAATATAAAATAAAATTTTTATTTAAAAATGGCAAACAATTTTTTTTTCAATTGAGTATGTCATATCTATTGGTTTGAAACTGAGAATTTTTTTATCGTTGAATTTTGCTCTTCGTCTAGAAATAACTATGAGCACGGGATTAAAATTCTAATAATGTTTTATTGTAACGTGTGATGGTAATACTTAGTTTAAATAACTAGATGAATTTCACATGGTATAACGACACTTAGAGTGTGCGATAATTCAATAAACATATAAATCTAAATAAAAAAAGGTAGATTTTGGAACGAACTGTGTTCATTGTTTAACATGTAAAATTTCGTGTATATATACGTATCTTGTAAACAATTATTTTTTATTCAAGCAAAACATTGCAACATCATAATGTAAAAGTAAATTGCTGTATAGCTTTAATAGTGGTTTCTGCGGTGTTACTATCAATAACCGTGATCAACAGCCAACAACAGCTAGGTTGGTAATAAACAAATCTTCATAAAAGTAACTAGAATCCATGCAATTTTGTTGCACGGAATAGAGCATGTTCTAATTCGTGCAATTCAGTTGCTGGGACGGAATTGCATAGCCTGATAAGAAATATTTCATGGATTCTATCGCGGCAACCAAATCCCTGCAACAAAATTCCATTCTCTGATACAGGCTTTACATATAAAAATTGATTATGTCATTCGATAGAGGGCAAAAAGTTGCCATGAGAAGATTGTCTTCTTTTTTCTATATTACCTCAAACAAAGCTGATATGAAACAAAAATGGATTTCCAAAATGTCGGTTTTTTTTCAAATATTTTGAAAACCTTAGCCTTGATTTTTTAGAGGCATAATGTTGGTCCCCTGATTATACAACTTTGCTCCCAATTAAGCTACTTCGTATCTCTTACCGTATATGTATCAACGAAAATTCTTTTCTTACTGATCTGTGTGAAGTAAGTTGAACAGGGTGTTTTTAAAACTTGGAAACGTCAATTTAAATAAAATGTTTCACATGAATATATGCCCGGAAACAATTAGTAAAAAAATGGAAGGTGATAATTACAAAGATTTTCGTCTATATAAACACACTAACATTCACTTTTCATCATTGTAACAAATAAAAAATAATATTATTTTATATCTAGAATAGGCCCATTCAGTGATACATAATTTTAAACTTTTTCTTTCATTTTCTGATAGTATTTAACAACCTAAATATATCTTAAAAAAATTAGGTCAATAGGATTAATAATAAGTGATATATTTAATTCTGAATTTGCAAGACCCTTAACTGCGGGAGAACAGGTAATGACGTCACGATACCTGCCACTCGGTGATCAAGTCGCGAGCAGTCGGAGAGATGTGTAGATATTTGCTATACTTTTACCTATATTATATACCCATCTATATTTTAAGTGTATAAATAGAGAGTGTATAAGAGATATACATCAAGTCTTATTGAAATGCATTTTTCACACAACATATTTATTATAAACATAGAATGACTTGGAATACCTAAATACATTTTCGGATTTTTCCCAATGACGTAAATGGTTCGCCTTTCTACATTTTCTTTTGCGTTCCATTTTTGTACAAATGTACCCAACGTACTAGACTCGGTACTTGTGGATGTATGCGACGACGTGTATGTGCCAGTAGTACTTTGACTAGTATTTGAAGCAACTCAGAACCACCCTCGTTTATCTTTGGTTGCCCGTCTAGGGGGTTGTAAAATATTATTATTTAAATAAATTGCTTATAGGTCCCTCTCGCCATGTATTTCGAAATTTTTGTGGACGGGAACGTTTAGATGGGGTAGAAATTTTTTTTCGGCATAAATTTTAAAATTCTGCTCGAAATGTTGAAATAATAATACTTACAACCCCCTAGACGGACAACCAAAGAAAAACGAGAGTGGTTCTTAACTGCTTATAGGTCCCTCTCGCCGACGTATTTCGAATTTTTTGTGAACACGAACATTTATATGGGGTAGAATTTTTTTCCGGCATAAAGTTGAAAATTGTGCTCTAAATGTTCAAATAATAATATTTTACAACCCCCTAGACGTGCAACCAAAGAAAAATGAAGGTGGTTTTGAGTTGCATACCGTAGCTGGGGAAACCGTGGATAACATCACACAAACTTTTCATTTTTCGGTAGTTAAATAAATATTTTATTCGGAGTCGATCCTGAGGTACTTTTGCAGCCTGGAACTATACAATATTTGTACAATCCTCGGTTTCGACCCATTTAGACATAAAAACAATGATTAACGAAACTGCCAAGCGAACCACACACCGTATGTATTAATACAGAATGGGATGAGAGCGAGCGGAGTGTTCTGCCAGTCGCCCGTACCGGTATTATGACGTCAGGCAATGATTGCTCAACGTTTTTCCGCGCTCTGTTTTCATTAATTTATTTCACACATTTCTCGTTGAAACAAAAAATTGATTTTGGCATACTAACTAATTAAAGGGCAAACTTTTGGAATATACAAAAAAAATCTACTGAATGGGCCTATTCTGTTTAGATAAATTGCTACTATTTCTAAAATATTTTTGCCTTTGCGATATTTTGCAATTTTGCAATATTTCGATTTGCACGACACTCTCACATGGAGTGTTTATTTCGGTAAAGTTATCCTAAGAAGATAATCGAGGGAAATAAATATGTAAAATATGTAAACTCACCCTTCCGCTGGAATCGACAGCATTCAAGTCTCCTTCCGGTATACCAATGAGGGTACCTCGACGAAGAAGGTCCCGTAATACGCTGTCATCCCCATCGCGTGCTGCCCTCAGGAGGGCTTGTCCTCCGGGGGAGGCAGCAGCGTGGGGTGTCGCGTTGGCTGTTGGGGACAGCGTGCCTCTGATGTACCTGCAAAGAATGTTGTGTTTAGTACATACCCCTTAAACATACGAACTAATACAACTTAGATTAAGAGCGAAACTGAGATGATTCTCTTATGATTTTGATGAAGATGAACTCATGATTTTTAAAGATGCATTCACTTTAGGATGGTGGTGTTAAAATTAGTTTTGAAATAAATATACGAGGCGTCCCAAAAGCGTGGATACACCTGAATAACTCGTTAGGAGATATTAGAAAAAATTTAACCTTGAGGGTCATTTTCAAAGTAATTTGAAAGTCACCGTTTCTCAAAGAACCCTCAATTTTGACTCCGGATGCTGAAAGAGCGGTCAATTCTGCGTTTGGGTACGGTTTGACCCTTGGGTTAAAGTGACCTTAAATGTCACCTGAAGGTCAAATGTCTCTATCGAAGCTTCTAGGCTGGTATCTCGTTAGGATAACGAGATCTCAAGAAAATGATTTCTGTGAAAGTTATTGAGATCATCAAGGGCCACCACCTGGTAACTTTGGATTTGATCTTGAGGGCCATTTTGAAGGTTAGATATAGTACGTCAGTGGTTCACATTAAACTGGTAGATAGGTATAAGCGGTTAAGAAGAAAAAAGTCACGTGACCGAGTAACAACATCGCTACTTAACAATCTGCTGGTAAATTCACTTACGAAAGCAAAACCTGTATTGCTATTAGGCGGAACAATTTTTAAAATGATCATATCATCATGAAAAATAAGGTAAATTACTGCATATGTACATATGCCTCAAGCCTTATGATATTTGTCAATGGGGTAAGTTGGTGACAGCATAATCTTTTTTTTTTTTGAGGCCTCCAAAGACTTTGCCGCACTGGCCCACCCCAAACAAAAGTTGCAGCTACGCTCATGGTCTCAAGCAGTAATACTTGAATAATTTATTTGTAAATCGATCTAATTTGTATTATTATAATATGTAATGTATTCCGATTTCTAACATAATTTTTTTGTTGATTTATTGATAGATAACACAGCCCCACAAAAAAAGGATCGGATCTGGTATTCAGACCCATGTATTTCCATGTATTTTATTCCGCTGAATCCGAATCTGCCTTCAGATTTGGCCCAACGGGTCTGAGTTTTCGGGAAAATTCAAAGAACAGTGTATAAAGTCATACAAGCTGGTCCAATTTCATTCAAAAACAGAAAATAGACCAAAATCCTTTAAAACGCCATTTTCATGGCATAATTCGTGTTGCAGAGTTCTGGATCCATCTTTTTATCCACCCACCCATTTATGAATTCATAGATCTTTCTATCCAGTCGTTCATGCATGAATACGCATATTTATTCATCCACCTGTACCACCTATAAAACCCACCCATCCATCCATCTATCCATCTACTTTTTGTACTGAGAGATGAGATAACAGCCTAGAAGATTGAGAATGCAATAAAACGTAGAATACTCTACTTTCTAAACAAAAGAAAACTATATCTACAAATCATTCTTATTTTTGTTGCCATAACGTGTCCTCTTTTCTTCAAACGATCTATGCAAAGGGTTACGCTTTCGTTTAGTCCCTCTATTTTTTTGCTTCTCTTTTTAACAACCAACAAAAATCGGTCATCTCGTTTTTTATCCCATCTTGCTTGATATCGCGGTTCTATAACCTTCATATCCTGTTGAAATCGTTCGCCTTGATCGTCGCTATAATCTCCAAGATTTTCAAGAAACCAGTCCAGATGTGAATGAAGACAGTGCAACTTGTAGTTCATCAAACATTCCAGTCTTTTATCAATTTTGATACAGTTTCTTCGTATATAAAGAAACTTTGTATTTTGTGGTGTGATCAAATCGAAAATGCTATCCATTTCTTTCTAAAATAATGCCTAATATGTTTTTTAATTTTTCTTAATGATAGTAGGCCGTAGAAAAGATCACATGTCAAAAAATATAATATCAAAAAGTAGGCCTTTTTGAGTACTACCATATAAAAAATAATAATTTTAGAAATCAGCCAATGCCATCTTAAATACGGAAGTGTACAGACTTTAAGTGAAACACACTGTATATTTTTTAAATAAAACATTCTAAAAATAACAACACATTTAAAAACCTTAGTATTATTATGGAACATTTAATTAGGCAATTTAGAAAAATTAACTTAGGGTATTTTCCCTTTGGTAATAACAAAATCTCGTTACGTCATAGATTTTGAATAAAAAAAAATATGTAACAAATAAAAATCGTTTTCGACCGTTTGAGTTTATTAAATAGGTATGGATTTTTTCTCGTTTAAGAAAATTCTACGGAAAGCAGCACGTAAATGTCACAGAAAAAAAATTGGTCGCCCGGCATTTAAAATTCCTTTTCATCAAATCGCTTCTGAAATTGAATAAAATTAAACCTATCACTGAATGTATTTTTTACTCCCGACTGTTAAATATTTTTTGCCTGATAATGATAGTTTAGTTTAGAAATTTTAACTTATAAAGGAAATAAAATTTGGTTCTTCCGGCGTAGAAGTTAGTAAAATTTTTGAAAAATCCAAAAATACACTTTAAATAACAACATGCTGGTAGAAAATTTAAAAGTTCTTAGTAAAAATAAAACAAACTGACTGTTTTCCCTAAATATAACTGTTTTACTTAATGACGGAAACTGGATAAAGCTAGTAGAAGCAAACACCGACTCTAAACCGTAGAATGAGGCTCAAATGTCACACTCACATACCTGCCAGTGGGGTGAATCCTCGTCCTAACTCCTGGAGACGCGGTGACCGGGACACTGGTCCCTTGGCCGGGGTACGTGAACTCTGCGACGCGGTTGTTTTTGGTGACGACTCCTGCGGGGTGTTTGTCCACACTCTCCGAACGGCGTGCATCTGAACGATGACTGAAAGGAGCGCGTGTTCGAAGCCAGCCGTCTCCCGCCGGAGCGTGCTTGACGACGACGCTGCCGTCGGCATCGGCGCCGCGGCCACTGCCGTCCCCATCTGTCGACGGAAGGTTGAAGCGCACCCGACGGGGCTGTAAAGGAAGGTTGTATGAGGTTTTCTTGTACGCTGCTGCCATTATTATCGTTAGTAGTTAACTATACGGGTACGTATTACAAAGAAATTTAAAAAAGTAACACAAAAGTATGTATACAGGGTGTTGCATCACGAGAGGGACATGGCTTAATGGGAGATAGAGGACATCTAGGGTAACTAGGATCGCCTATAGAAATAAATTCTTGGCCATTCTTTATTGAGATACAGGGTGATTTATGATTTGTAGTCAAAACTGATTTATGTCATAACTTTGGTAGGGAATGGAATAATGGGTTCATATTTGGTAGGATTAATGCACACACGATACTTCATGTATTCATGTATGACAGCAAAAAATCCAGATCCGGACTGCAAAAATTGTAAATTTTTTGTGCAAGTCTAGAAAACAACACTCTGTATATATTTTTTGAAATTCCGATACGATATTCGGAAAGTACATAAAAAAGTGATTCTAAAGTCGTGTTTCTATTTTTTGTTACACTTTGGTGGTTATTTAAATAAGCTCTTGAATATACAAGACTACGGCTTCTAAAACTAAATTACGTAAAGGACACATGATAAAAATGGTTTTGCAACTAAAATTAGCGAGGGATTAATTGAGGGTAGATTTTGTAAATAATCATGCATATTTTAAACCTCATTTTCTTTAAATAATATGTATTCCAGGTCCGGACTGCAAAATTAAAAAATTGTTTTGTAACTCTAGAAAACTTCGCCCAGTATGTATTTATTTGGTATTCCCATACGATTATCGAAAAGAACATAAACAAGTAATCTCAGCGACATGTCTTTTTTTCTTGTTACACTTTGATGATTATTTAAAATCGCATGATAAAAACACATGACAAAAAATAAATTATAAAAATTGAAAATTTGCTATAAAATTAATTTGCCATTGTAAAGTACATTTAGACACCTATTATTTTCTTTGTGTTTTATTGTTATTTGTTTTCCGTGTTTTATTAAATAGTCATTGTTCCCATTTGCTTTTTTATTTCTATTTTTTAGAAATCCTATTTACCAAAAGAAATAAACTACCATTTTGATCATGTATCTTTTACTTACTCATGTAATGTGTTTCTTACTTACTCGTAATTTCATTTTAAAAGCCTTGTTACCGTACATGAATAGTGTAGTAATCATCAAATTGTAACGAGAAAAAAAGACATGTCGCTGAGATTACTTTTTAATGTTCTTTTCGATAATCGTATGGGAATACCAAATAAATACATACTGGGCGATGTTTTCTAGATTTACAAAAGAAATTAAAAATTTTGCAGTCCGGACCTGGAATACATATTATTTAAAGAAAATGAGGTTTAAAATATGCATGATTATTTTCAAAATCTACCCTCAATTAATCCTTCGCTAATTTTAGTTACAAAACCATTTTTATCATGTGTCCTTTACGTAATTTAGTTTTAGAAGCCGTAGTCTCGTATATTCAATAGCTTATTTAAATAACCACCAAAGTGTAACAAAAAAAAAGAAAGACGTCTTAGGGATCACTTTTTTATGCTCTTTCCGAATATCGTATCGGAATTTAAAAAAAATTCATACAGAGTGTTGTTTTCTAGACTTGCACAAAAAATTAACAATTTTTGCAGTCCGGACCTAGATTTTTATTGCTGTCATACATGCATACATGAAGTATCGTGAGTGCATTAACCCTTCCAAATATGAACCCATTATTCCATTCCCTACCAAAGTTATGACATAAAGCAGTTTTGACCAAAAATCATAAATCACCCTGTATCTCAATAAAGAATGGCCAAGAAATAATTTCTATAGGCGATCCTAGTTACACTAGATGTCCTCTATCTCCCATTAAGCCATGTCCCTCTCGTGATGCAACACCCTGTATTTTGTTTTTTTAATGGAACACGCTATACAAGGTGTTAACGAAATAAGTACTCAAAATTTGAGAGTATGTTGTGGAAAACATGTCAAAATATGATGAAAACCTTAGTAGAGTTTTTGTCAGTGGCGGCCCCTAAGGAAGATACGGCCTCTTGAAGGGGGTAACTCAGCAAAAAGTTTTAGTTATTTATTTATGGAAAAGGGGACAAACACAGCCTTTATAGCCCAAAACAATGTCCACAAATTACTTAAAGCTAATTAAATACAGAAGTACAGAAATAATTACTATAATAGAAAATGTTAGTTTATAATAATATGCAGTATGTTAAAGACTTTTTAAAACTAGTGAGCGAGATGTATGTGAAGTTAGAAACGTTTTCCTTCAGAAACGTTTCTGACAATAGTGACTACAATTCTATTTAGGCGTAGCGGCAAATGTACAATCTAAGAAATAGACCTTTTGCGCCACCGATAACTATAGGAATCAAAAATACTATAATACTCCTGCTGCCTTCAATTTTTCAGTACATTTGTAAAGATATATTTCCTTTTGATTCCTGATATCTATCTTTTACAAAAACCTATATGAATCCTGGAATTAAGGAGTAACATCAGAAACGAATTTTCTCACCGTAACATAAAACAATTTTTTTCTCAAAAAGTATAGAGTGTGCCACCTCAAATTTTTCACTGTATCTACAAAAAGACATGCCATTTCGAGCCCTGCTATCAGTTTTTTCCAAAAACCCGTAGTTATCTTAGAATTAAGATTTCAGAAACGAATTTTCTCACCCTTAAAAAACAATTTTTTCCTTAAAAACTATAGTGTGTACCACCTCCAATTTTTCACTGTTTATATAAAAATACATGCCCTTTCAAGCATGTTTGAGAGAAAAAATGTATAAGGATGCGCAAAAATTCGTTTCTGAAGTTACGTCTTAATTCTAGGACTCCTACGGGTTTTTAGAAAAAACTGATACCAGGGCTCGAAAGGGCATGTATTTTTATATAATCAGTGAAAAATTTGAGGTGGCACACTCCATAGTTTTTGAGAAAAAAATGTTTTGTAGGGGTGCGAAAATTCGTTTCTGAAGTTGTCTTAATTCCAGGACTCCTACGGGTATTTGGAAAAAACTGAAACCAGAGTTCGAAGGGGCATGTCTTTTTGTATAAACAATGAAAAATTTGAGGTGGTACACTCATATTTCATGATAAACTTTAAAAAAATACTCACAAAATGTTGCGGAGATTTATGGTGTACTGCTATAAGGATGTACTAGGATTCCTTGGGGTGCACGGAGATTTCTTTAGAACTGCTAGGATGTATAGGGGTGTGCCAATGATGTACTTGGATTTAGAAGGAGGTTTTTACAGGAATTTATTGATGATGCACTTGATTAAGCCTATACAGGCATTGTATTAATTTCTTACCATAACTATTAAGGGTGAGCCTGTTATTTTTTGTATAGTAATCTTCCTACAGTTTGTAACCATAATCTTTTCGTCAATAGCCACGTAACGTACGTCAAAATCAATTTTTAAGTTGTTAAAGATACCAAAATTAAGTTATTTATAAATCATAAATCAAAAAAAAATTATTCATTAACAAAATTAACAACCAACGTTAATAAGGTGAACTTTAAAAAAATGGTGCCCTTACATAGTATTTTTAAGTAAACTGAAGTGGTTCAAGATTTAAGCAATATTTATATAGGTACGTAGGTATATTTGAAGAAGCAAAATCTATAGATAGTTAAGTGGTTGAATTTTTATAGCAAATTAAAATTCATGATGTTATAATAATTCTGATCATAATTAAATAAAAATATAATCTAAAATTAAAGTTTATATTCCAGAATTCCGCAGATATTACAAATCTTGGGATAGATAAAAACTTCCTTAATTCAAAAATACATAATTCTAGTTACTTTCCAATACTCTATATATTTTGGAATTTACTAAAATTTTCTAATTCAAATTTCTTAAGAAATATATTCTATACAATAATGACATATGCACTATAGGTAAATCGCGTTAGATTAATGTCAGTGGTAATAAACATAATTAATTTTCTTTATTTACTCATTGATTAAACATTTTTGAAATGTAGAAGTACTAGTTAAGTTGATGTTTTGTTCTACTCCACCAATTTTATTTGGTTATAATCCTACTCTACAGTTTTTGGCAGAAGTTGTTTCATTTATAGTTATTTGCATAAGAAAACTTTTGTGGAATGTTTTTAAATGTTTAATATTTAAAATTAGTACAATTACAATACACGTGAGAGAGAAAATTTAAAAATATTACTACAAGTTCAGTAAGCAAACACTGACCCACTGAATCAGTGGCTAATTTTGCCGCAACTGAATCATCTAACACTTGCTTTACAATGTCATTGTAAATTATTAGGTTTTCTATATCTCTGTAGTTCTGTTTCTTTTTTGAAAACATAGAAAATACTAGTACGGTTGCAAACAGTTTTAATTTAAAACTGGGATGATCTGACAATACCAATGATATCATCAACAAACCGTTATCAAAAAATATACAGTATGTCCGTGGTTATGATGAATAAGAGGAAAAACTTTTTTATTTTACATATTATGGAAAAAAGGCATACTTAATAAAAAGTTTTGCTTGAATTTAAAATGAGATTGCCATGGTAAAACAACATTATTCATGTACGGGGTGTTCAAAAATAAAAAAATTTGAAAATGTCATAAGAGTAAACTACCTTTATTTTTAATATTTCTGAAAAGTGATATTTTGCAAAAGTAAACTACCTTTATTTTTAATATTTCTGAAAAGTGATATTTTGCAAAAGCCGTGCGAAAAAGTTACTTGAGTTTTTAAATAAAACAATTCGCACATAAAATTGGTTTAATTTTTTACAGAACATAAAAAATTTGGAAAAAATATATCTATAATAAAACATTATTCGAACACTCCTCCACCAACGTTCACACAAATTTGAAGGTGTGCAAGGAATTCATTGTAGCTGCATCAAATCTCTTTTAAAGATATGGACTGTACAGCATCTTCTAACTCGTTGTTTTAGCTGCTCGATGTTATTGTCCAAAGGCCTGGTATACACAACCTGTTTGAGTCCCCACAAGTAAAAGTCCATGATTGTTAAGTCTGGACATCACGGAGGCCATTGAC